CGTGTTTCAATACAACTGACTGGAATTCATCTTTAAGTGAATCATAGTTTTAATCGACATAACCCAAACAAAAATTAAAAAAAACAGGTAAGTAAAACGTCTATTCTAGTCTTGCAAATAGTTTTACAATTAGATATCTCAGTCATTATTCTCACTTGTATTTAGCGAAAGATTTCTTAAATGTATGTTATCATCTGTACTTCGGTTGGCAAATACAGTGTTTGTACATTTGATATTTCATTGACAAGTGTCTGTAATTATTTCAACATTAGTTTGCAAGACATAGAGTCAATGAGGGCTATTTAATAAAGATGTGCAGGGCTTGAGACGATTTCAATTCGACATAACTATAATCAATTAAATTTTTAAAATTTTACAGACTCGATAGAGGCGTTCTGGGTTTTTCTAACATTTAGTGTAAAGAACGTCTTCGACTTTTTTTAAGAATTTACTGCCAAAAATTTGAATACTTCGAGTAGACGGATATTTTGAACATTTGTGCTCTGATCTCAGTGGAATAAAGAAACAGTTTGACTCTCTATTGTATACACTCTCATCACTATCGTTCATTGAAATACATTCTTTATAATACATTTGGTCCTTTTTCAAAGAAATTATATTATATAGTAAAAGTAGATGAACTAATTTCTTTAAGAAAGATGTAGGCGAAGATTTCTTCAAAAAATGTCTTTTTAAATTTCATTCACGCTCTTCTATAAAGTTTCTACCATCAACTGTAAGTTCATCAAGTTTCTTAAGTTTATCAAAAGAGATGCATCACATTCGACAACTACAACTTTGTTCATCTTCTTCTATTTCTTTAATAATTAGAATGTTGACTACAACGACTATAACACCCGCCAATACACCAGTTACTAATGTTATAAAGAACACATTGTATCCATCGCATCTTCGTCATGCCCTCATCATCGACCTCCATCTTTTGAGAACAACAAATTCCACCAAGTATCTCCCATCGTTTCTAGACCGCTTACGCAACATTGCCAAACAGCCTTTTGATATGCTTCTGTTTCGTGGTAATACACCGTCGTTGGCAATCTGGGAGGCGTTGCAAGATCTCAAATATATATCTCATCTCGAAATGATTAGTGGATACGATGAATACTGCAATATCGAACCATTAGATAAAGTTGGATCATCTTGGCCTCTACAATCTATTGTAATCGGAGATGCGTGTGGTGATGATATCAAGACAGCACATCTCCATACCATCACTTCTCTGACACTCAATTATTGCTGTGGTCTCTCATTTAATTTAGCTATTGGCAACAGTGCAAGTCAACTAAAACGGTTAATCATTATAGAAAATGATGCTTGTGATCATTTCATCAAGATGCAACAAGAGACCTGTCTAATTAACAATCTATTAGAACTAAAAATCGAAAGTACAAATGGCTGTGATTTCTCTCACCAATATGAAAAGAAATGTTTCGGTAAAGCGTTAATTCAATGTCCTTCACTCAAATCCCTCGACCTTACTTTACATGATTCATCCGAAGATTTGCCTGAAGAACATTATTTAATTGAATTGCCCACCTATTTTCCACATAATTTGGAAGTTTTGCAGTTTCGAGGACCACCAAGTTTAGCAAACTATCTATACTTCTGGCACAAATGTTTATCGGATCCTAACTGGTTACCAAATCTCAAGTCAATTAAATTTTGCTTAGATGTTCGTTATCATGAGAAAGAAATTCCATTGGAAAAAGCAAATTTTGCGCATGAACAATCTATGCAATTCTTGAAAGATCTGGTATCCCTTCGATCTTCAATCATTATTTTGAATGAACAAAAAATAACAGCTGACATAAATGTTTAGAAAAGATGGGATGCTCTAACAAGATGACTATGAAAAATGATGGAAATCTAAACTACATATAGTGCAATATTGATTAATAGATTTTCTTTTTTTTTCTTTTATATATTTTATGAAGGACCATACTAGCATGTATATTAATAAACAAGAGTGATTCTGAATCTATTCAGTTTTACCAAGCCTCTAAAATATGTCGTTTCACATAGATCTATTGGTTATTGATGTTTTATTAAATAGTAATCCATAGTGGATTATACCAGAACCAAGAAATTATCAAGGGCTTACTTTCTGGTTCAAACAATGTCTTGAAAGTGTCCTCAGCATACGTTTGTATATTCGTAATCGATAAATAGAGATAAATAAAGAGATGTTTTTTGTGCATTCTACAAACATTATATATGAAAAAGAGATGATCAGACAGAGAATAAAGGCGATCAAGAACGATATTGTTCTTAACCATGTATTCATATGCAGAACATTGTGCTGGTTAATATTCTACATAGAGATAATCCATGATTTATCAAATCATTGATATTAGCACTAACTCATAGTTTTATTTGATAAAATTTCTTCCAAAATTTTGCACTTAAAATCATGTACCCAGAATACCTAAGAACTTTAAATAGGATCGAGTTGGACTAAATTATTTTTTAGCTCAAACGAGAGATCATATCATAAAACTTATAAATCCAAAATAAGAGGTTTTTCTGACGTACCTGTGAAAAATACCGAAGATGAAAAACTTCCAATTTAAAAAAAAAAGATCATAAAAATTCAAAAAGTAGTTTTTTTTACGTTTTAAAAGTATTTTGTTATTTTCTCTATTTTCGCTCATCATCTATGATCACGATATGTCTCAGAAGATGCAAAAAAGAGTTTTCTATGAAACAGATTATGTCCGTGATCATTAAAATAACTTTTTAGTAAGTGATCGAGCTTTCATAAATGATAGAGAATCAGTAGTTGATGATGATCCTTGAGCCACCAATTTGCCTTTATCCTTGTCGAGTCATGTCGTCACCAAGAAACTGAACGCTGATTCTGAAACTATATGATATTCTGTATCTTTTAGCATATTACTCAAAAAGTAAAAAGACACATAAAAGTTCATGCCATTGTTTCTGTATTTCAGAGAAACAAAGATAAAAATTTTCTATATCAATGATATTATTATCAGCTATACCAAAATGATTACAATATTTTTATTTCGTAAAAGAGCATGATACATATAAAAATTAAAAAGTTCCTCAAAAATTTCTATATTCAGCATTACGAGAAGTCGATCTATAATATTCGTTGTTTATTTTAAGTGTAGGAAAAAATATTAGACAAAGTCAATAGAGATTTTCTCATAGAATTTCCATAGAACGTTTCACAGTGAGTCTTTTAGAAAAAAAGAATCAAAATTTTATTATTATTCTTAGTTGAAATATGTGCAAATTAAGAAAAATTTGCAATCATTTTGACATAGCTGATAATAATACCATTGCTATAGAAACTTGTTATCTTCGTTTCTCTGAAATATAGAGGCGATCTTATGAACACTTAAAAGGTTTTCATCTGTACTACAATCTCTACATATGAGCAAAATATGAAGTTGAATAGAAGTTACCAGTTGGATGGATTCCCTTGTCAATTCAGTCCACACTAACTGATCAAGAGTTAATTTCTAGACTGTACTCTACTTTGATTAACAGTTAAGCAGTTGAAGAATGCACAAAAACTATGATATATACATCAATTAATTATGGGTAGATACGATTCAGATATTATTTGATGAAAAATTTCATTTTGTCATTTTATATATATCAACATTTTCTCTCTATCTATAGAATAATGGAAAACTTATAGATTTTATTTTATATTAAAAAAAAACTAACTATTCTACTTTGACATTAGAAATAATTGTAAAATCCACATATTCGTTAGATACATGAGTCATGCTATAATTAAAACATTTATTAGATGTTGCGATAGTATGACAACGACTGAAAATGCATGATTTTGTTCTGATTTTCAAGTGTCATAGTTAATTATGCCATAATGAATTATGCATATCGAGTCGAGTAGAGAAATTGACAAAAGTCAAAGTCGAATAGTATTTTATGAATATGATGCAAAGCAAATATTTTCAGAGCATATGAGTCATCACATCTCTCCAATGAGAACGGTATATGATAACGTCTGAGAGAACATTCTGTTATTGTCATATATATTCACAAGACCTCCCTGTAAAATATCAAAAGAAGAATAATCGATTGAATTCAGCATTACTTTTTTATGGAGATAGAAAATGAATCACCAATGAAAAATAATGTCATTATCGCATTTTGGTCTAAGATACAGAAGAAATGTCGGTAAGTAATAAAATTATTCTTTTTCTCCAAAGAGGATTTCTTTTTCTTTTTTATAACAATGTAATATAACACAATTGTGATTTTTGCCTCTCTATCAGTTTTGTGTTACAGTAAAATCATACAATGTTATATTTTATTGAAAATTGCTTTTAAGAGAAGAAAATATTCCATTTCAAAGTGAAAGAAAGTCTTCACAACTTTTCTTAATTTGCAGTTTAATGAAAATCAAGTCTAAACATTGCTGCTCTCGAAAGATTAGCAAACATAATTGTGATTGACAGATTATATAGAATTCCTATCAATGGAAAAAGACTGTGTTTTTATTCCTAAAATCCATCTGATAATGAACAAGACCATAGGCAACAAAACAATCACTATAATAACTGCTTTCTTCAAAATATGGGATTTCGTGTTGCAAGAGCGTATTGCCGAAGCAAACATCTCAAATCTATTTTATAAAAGACTTTGTTTTTGATTTAATTAAAAGATGACACATTGACTTGAGAAAAATGTAAGACATAGTGCAGTTTTTTATCTAAAAAACTAGAAAATACATGAAACATTCAACTTAGAAAAGATAATATAAATATGGTCAATTTGATGAAAGTATATAGATGATATTGAACGTTATGTATGTCTATTATAGAATGAAAATTAAGAAAGGTAGATAGGTGCAGATGGAGAATTTTAGAATTTTTTTCGAAGTAACACAGCGTAAGGTGAAGTGCGGATTATTATAAGCTTGTACGAAATTGCTGATTCTTTTTGAACTATGTTAATTTGAAAATCCTGTTGATAGATTTCGAATGAAACCATCAGTCAAAACAAATGGTGATAATTCACAACCCATAAATTATAGAAGACCATGTGTTGTAATTAGCTTCATCTCTCTAAGTCTATTGAGTGTTAGTATTATCACTTTTTTTATCACCTGTGGTTTACTGTACGACGGTGAACATACATTGAAAAAGTATTTTTATCCAAGTACATGTCAAGTAAAAGACATCTCATATCATTTAACATGGTGCACTGCACGCTGGAGACAACGTTTTCGATGCTATCAAATCCATTGGCATGTAACTTATAGTCTTTTACAAAATCTAACAGAATATTGTGATGATCAATTTAATGCAACAATTCAAAGTTCATATGCACGTCATTATGAACAAATTACAGATGCAATCAATGCAGCACAAGAATATCAAGTGCGTATATACACTTAGATTTTTATAATAGAAATCTTCACCTTATATTATTATTAAATATGTTTACATATGTCATTGAGAATTTCACATCTTATTCAAATGAATTTTTATCTATTTAGAACAGAATGATATGATTTAAAAACATATTCCATCGAAATTTGATTGTTATAACCAATGAAGACTTGTTAGATGTTTCTCATATTGAAGAGAAGTTCAGTCAAAACAAATCTCAAATGTATTTTTGAAATATTCTATTGCATATCTCTCAGATTTATGTTTTAAATATCGAATAATTTCAAGGTTTGTTTTACAGTTTAAATCTAATTTAACAATGGTTGGTTGAATTTCTTTGAATTCTATTTAATAATTCATCAGAACATCCGACTTAGTCTGAATATATGTCTTTTTTCTAGGTGAACATGTCTTATCCATGTTGGTACGACACAAGAGATTTATCTGTTGTTCAGTGGTACGGTTCATATGGTTCTGCTGGTCTTATACTTCTTATCTGTGCTGCTTCATTTATTCCACTCAGTATTCTTGTATGCTTTGTAAACTTTCTTTATATACGTCATCTAAAATTCCAGAATGAAAAATCTTCTACTAATCTCTGATTTCAACGATTCTGTACAATAGAATCGATTATATTTTATTATTATAAATAATAAAAAATTCTCTATTGATTCACAATAGTTTTTTGTTTTTCGAACAATAGACAGAGTATCAAAGTGTTGAAGGTGATTATGATGCGTACCGAAAATGACGTGATCGACAGCGTAAAGAAATATATTTCACAAATAACTTTTCTTGCAACTTTCATAGGAAAAAGTTAAGAAACTTTCTCAGTTAACCCTAGTACTCCCAACCTGGGTCATTTCTGACCCAAACATAAAAATTTGAAAATACACTGGGTGTGGATGTGGGTGCGAATGTGTTAGTCTTTCTTCAATGAATCGCACACCCACACCCACACTCGGCGAGCGTTTAGTGCGTGTAGTATATATGGACTGTGGTGTGCATATGTGTGGTACGCCTGCCAAATTCATATCTATCGATATGGGTATAAAAACTTTTTTATCACAGGACAAATTAAATAAAAAACCTGTTTAGTTGAGTATCAATGCTAGAATATCGAATTCATTACACGTGGACTGATCTTTCTTCCTTTATTGGCTTGCTTACGTGGACAGATTTTTCTTTCTTTGTTGGCTTGCTTACGTGTCATAGAACGATCATTCCAGACGTCCGTAACAGCGTTGTAATAGATATTAAAAGGGTATAAAAGAACGCGTTTACTGGATTCATTTTCACTCTATATTCTTCGTAACTCATCATCTTGTTTTACGAGTCGTTTTTTGGAATCTGAGATATCGTTTTTGTTTAGAACATCCTTTTCGTTCTTTTTTCATTTTCATTCTGGTTCAAACATGGTAAAAATTTTCGTCAATCATTCGAAAATCACCAATCTTTGTTCTATTTTTTTTTGAGACTTTGTGCTTTGATGGAAAGCGCAAATTATTCTTTCATTCTGATCGTGTTAAATGTGTGGATATTCATCCAAACGAACCATGGATCTTAGCAACACTTTACAATGGTCATGCACATATCTACAATCATGATACTCAAGTAAAGTCGATCATTATATTTACTTAACACTTGTTCATCGTGTTGTTTTTGTTTCTTAGCAATTAATAAAAACATTCGAAATATGTGATGTACCTGTCCGTACCGGTAAATTTGTCGTGCGAAAAAATTGGATCATTACTGCATCGGTAAGTATAATGTGATATCTCAGCATCCAATCAGTTTCTTCTAGGATGATATGTTTGTTCGTGTTTACGATTACAATACATTGGAACGAGTGCATCAATTTGAAGCACATAGTGATTATATTCGTTCAATTGTGGTTCATCCTACTCAATCCTGTATTTTGACTTGTAGTGGTATGTAAGAAAATAATGAATGGGTTCGATTTGTTTAATCAGATTTTTTTTTCCCAGATGATATGACTATCAAATTATGGGATTGGGACGCTCAATGGGCATTGAAACAAACTTTTGAAGGACACACTCATTATGTTATGCAAATAGCAATTAATTCAAAGGATGATAGTAATTTTGCTTCTGCTTCTCTTGACCACACTATCAAGGTAAGATGACGATCGAATTGATGAATTTTTGAGTTATTTCTTTTGTTCGATGGGAACGAATTAGGTCTGGCAGTTAGGATCTACTGAAGCGGCTTTTACTTTGGAAGGTCATGAAAAAGGTGTTAATTGTGTGAATTATTGTTTGGATGATGATAAACCATATCTAGTTTCCGGTGGTGATGATCATCTAGTTAAAATCTGGGATTATCAAGTAAGAGACATTTATTAATTGATTGATGTCTTTGTTGATAAACATGTATTCTATTTAAAACAGAATAAAACTTGCATACAAACATTAGAAGGACATTCACAAAATGTTAGTTGTGTGGCTTTTCATCCTGAATTACCTATTATTTTGAGTGGTTCCGAAGATGGAACAGTCAAATTATGGCATTCGGATACTTACTGTCTCGAATCAACATTGAACTTTGGTCTTGGAAGATGTTGGACGATATCATGTTTGAAATGCTCGAATAATGCAGTTCTTGGTTATGATGAAGGAACATTGATGATTAAGGTAGAGAAGAAAATAAGTAGACGACAGAAACAATGTAATTTGATTGTTTTAGTTGGATCGAGAAGAACCGACCGAGTCAATGAATGAATTAATGGATAAAATCGTTGATTGAAAAAAAAGAATACAAACTACATGGCAATACCATTATCAATGCATTCAAAAAATGAAGAGAACTTTATATGCTAATATGATCGATCTTCTTGAATAATTGAATCCATAAATAATTTATCTTCATCTTTTGTCATCAGAGAGTTCTATGAATAAGCACTGTTGCTTCTATCAATAATGAAAGAAAAAATAGTCATTGCTGCATGTATGGTATGTTTTCAATGAGAAAGGGTGTGGGTGTGGGTGTGGATGTGAGTGTGGTGTGGGTGTGTGGGTGTGGTTGTGGGTCAAGAGGGAACAAGCGTACTTCTGTGCTTCAGAAGTACAGAAGCACACAGAAGTATGGAGAAGTACAGAGAAGTACGAAGAAGTACAAAGAAATACGGAGAAGTACAGAGAAGTACGAAGAAGTAGAAAGAAGTACCGAGAAGTACCAAGAAGTACCGAGAAGTTCATCAAGTTATGATAATATATCTCCCTCAGGGCTGCCAAATCCAAATATAAAAAACAGGAGTTTCTCAGCAAAAAACCAATAGTTGACCAGGAAATTCTGTCAAAAAACCAGTTGGAAAAACCAGTCGATCTTTTTGGAACTGTAATAACTATTTAGCTGAATTGTTTCGAAAGAAACTGAAATTTTCATCCAGATATCTATCTCTTTCTTTCTACAGCCATTTTAATGATGACAAGACTATACTCTAAGTGACACGTAAGGAAGAGAAAGACAGATCACACGTACAATTCCTCAAAAATAAATAAGCTGACGGATTTGATAACCATTCTTTTCTAATTTTCACAAATAAACTTTAGTTACTTTCATGCAAGATTATGAAGTAGTTTTCGATTTGAACTTTTTCCAGTGAAATTGAAACAGTATTTTTACTTGTTCTAGTATAGCTTGGGACAAAAGAATTTCCTCCAATAAATCCAAGAGGGAAACAGCAGACTTTTGTGGGTGTGGGTGTGGGGTGTGGGGTGTGAGTGTGGGTGTGACGCAGCTGAAGAAAAGTTTAGAACGCATCTCGACGCGATTATAAATGAAAACGCGTTCAGACGCGATGAAAATCGATTTTTACCGCGATTGAACGCGTTTTTATTTACAATCACGTCTATACGCATCTGAACAAAATTTTCAAACGCATCTCGAAGTGACTATAAATGAAATCGTGTTCGGACGCAGTTACAATCAATGTCTATCGGCGTCTGGACGCGATTTTTTATGAGACTGCATGAAAACGCGTTTAATAGAAAAATGTTCAAATGCGAGTGGGTGCGGTTTGAGTTAGAACGCGTCAAGACGCGGTAGGATGAAATTCTGAGCCGCAACTCAACGCGTTTTTCTATGGAACCTCGTTTGTAAGTGGGTAATCAAAAGTTTTTACACACGTCTGAACGTGATTTTGCATGAAACTGTGTCTGTACGCGATTGACCAGAAACTATTTAAAGGAAGACATAAAATTTTATTATCTGTATTCTGATCGAATTTGGCAAGAATAGAAAGAAATGCATAGTTTCGAGGTTTAGGTACTTCATGTACAAGAGAAAGATGTTCTTATCGTAGCACGAATAAATTTCTTTAGAAACTTCATTTTTTTAATGTATTAAAAAAGTTATACGAGTGACCATTAGTATAATGAGACTATTTCTCTACTCAGCAGTGTTTCTATTAATCGATAGCCTGTTTTCAAAATAAGTGATAAATATAAACTAGTTTTGCATCAAACCATAGATCAAGAAGTCCGCTCTAAAATACGAAAGATAAAATTTATTTTCCCTTTTTTGATCAAAAAAATCTTTTTGAAATTTAAATTATAACTTATGCACTCAATTTGAACTTTGTTTTAAGGATAAAATATACTTTGTCATAAAATAATTGTACTTCTAATGTTAAAATGTTGTGGGTGGCGTAGTGTTCAATTCATTTCGAATCGTGTGTGTTGTTTTCATTTTATGTTGTTACGGAAGGAAGATACACAAGAAGATACTCAAACCCAAATAGAAAATCTAATAGACAAATCTTTGTTCTACGTTTCCTAGACATACAACATCGTCTCTACATTATCCATCGCGTGCGCATAAGCAACAAACTTGCAAACTCTGCACTTAGTGCTCTACTGACATGTATATATTTGCTAAAATCTCAAAGAAGAAGACACTTTAGAAATCAAAAATTATCTTTTTATGTTAACATGATTAGAAGAAAAGCTTTGCTAAAAGCTTTTTTATATAACAAAAAAGAAAGACGAAAAAAGTACGTGATATTTGATAAAATAAAATAACTATATAATCAGTTCTAAAAGATAGGCAGTATTTAATATTATAAGTAATAGTCTTATACAACAAAATAAATGAAAATTATTTGGGAAAGGAAAAGTTTTCAAAAATTTTAAAGAAATTTTAATATATGCAATTTATTTTATGGAAGTTTATTTTCATACAAGGATATAAATATTAATAAATGAGATATAATTTAGACAGAAAACGTTCTATTGATAAATGCATTTGTACATATAGATATGAAGTCATGATTCATATATACTTTCTGTTTCATTCGACAGTGATTGTGGTCACATGTGGCTTCATGGTACGTATACTTGCTTCTAAATCGCTAGTTCACTTGTTCTAATCTCATTTCTATCATTTTAGATAAATCAACATTTCAACATTCCGTTCGCCTATGGTGAGGTAAAGACCATCGTTAGAGGATATCGATGGCGACTCAGATCAAACCTGAGACGGATTGTAATATTTTTTTTAAATTTTAAATACCGAACTGCACGCGTTTCGACGCGATTTAATTCATAATCGCGTCTAACCGCAATTTGGTTTGGAACCGCGTCTACAGTGAAACATTTCTTGCGTCTAGACGCGATTGGAAAAAATTGCGTCTAAACGCGGTTGGAAAAAATCGCATCTAGACGCAAGAATTGTTCCACTGGAGACGCGTTTATTGCGTTTTTCCGCTACGATCCACACGCAACGAAACGCAACTCAGACGCTTTTTTCTCGAAAAAAAATGTGCATGCCATTGTGACTTTATCGCCAGTCAGCATATTGAATTTGCACATTCCAAGGTAGTGACCTAGGTGTGAAGAGTGGGCATCCACATCCTCCCTCACAGCCACAACCACACCACCCACATCCACTCTCGATATGGAAAACATTTTGTGATGACATTTATTTTTGTCTAGACCAATTATGCTGATTCAGAGTATCATATTTCTTTTTCTCATTTTGCCAATTTACGATATTCAAAATCTGTACACACAAGGAAAACCTTTATTGTTTCTTTTTATTTTGACAAGTCAACACGATTGTGTTATTTTTTAAATATAATAATAAATGAGATTAATAATGAACAAAATAAATAATAATTTTTTTGTGGTTTTTTATATTTTTTTCGTTTTTTTTAACTATTTTTATTATTCGCAATAAAATAGAAAAATAATAAGAGAAGAAAGAGAAAGAAAAAATAATAAGAGAAGAGAAATAGTAACAAGAATATTAGTATGAATAACGCTAGGCCTTTCGAATTGTCTTTTTCAAGCGA